CTGCTGAAAAAAAAACTTCCCGAGAAACTTTTTGCACACTGAAATAGAATGCTGTGGATGCTCCCTTAATTATACACCCAACTCAGGTATAGCAGCCCTCTCTTATCTACTAATATAAATTATCCTTTCGTTCCACCTATGGTGTTAGGTCCCATTATATCATGTCTACCTCAGGAGGGCTTCATCACATGTATATACACTAGATCTCTCTCATGGAGCACTTCAACATTTCCTAATTCACCAGCTGTCTATCTTCATCCTAGCTAAAACTCCACAGTAGATGAGGAGGAAATAAAATAAATAAAATAATAAAAAAAACAAAACCAGCAACCACTTTTTTTTTTCCTTAGGTCTGTTCACTCTTCTGCAAGTGTGACTGGCGCCGTTAAGTCTCTTCCTTCTGATTGCAGTGCCACAAATTTCAAAGCCATGACAAAGGTATCTAAAAGGTAAGGGGCTTTTGGCTTGTTCTTAATAAATAATTTTATTAAATACCAAGACGCTATATATATCTACATTAATATCAATCTAGATATTAATCAATCGTCATCAATCTAGATCTAATAGATCTTTATGATCTGCCACTAAATTTGGTAGTGGGGATGTGAACCAGTCACACTTCCTGCTTTGATTGTGGGTGTTAACTTATGTTTTCATGGAGGAACAGGACTTGATGTCATAACTAAGCCAGCTGGAAAAAAACAGATTTAGAGTATAAATTCTACTCCCACCCACTGTTGTTTAAAGGTATAGTTTACAGCTTAAACTAATTCTCAGAGCCCAAGCTTGGTGAAAATGTCACCAATACTGCTGTGTTTTAGAAACAATAAAAGTAAACCAAACCCCCAAAGAACCCCAACCAAATAAACTGACAATCAGTTCCTTGCATATTGAACAGTTAGGGTTTTCTGTTATTATCATTCTCCATACACTAGAGAGCTTGGTTTTGGCAGGAGTCATCACCTGAAGTGAGGGGGTGAAAAACTTAAATGGGTCATGAAACCAGCAAGTGGTTTAGTTTCACCTTGGCCTGCTATAAATTTCAGAGGCTTGTTTCCATCCAGAAGATACCCACGTCTTACATTTTTTAAGTGGAATAAGAATAATTGTATCATGAAAGAAGCTTAGGAATTTTGTATGGCATAAAGCGTGCCCTGTACCTCTGAGACCTAGCAGCTTCGGTATTTCTCGGTATATCCCTCTGCAGTAGACAGATAGAGCACACAGCTTAAGCCCTGAGGCATGAAGTTTCTTCTTTCCAAAACCGTAAGCATTCACGGTTGATCTTGGAGAGTGGATCTTGTTCTTACTGAGTGGTGCATATGTCAGCTTGCTCACTGGCCTGTATCACAGGCGCAGGCGGCTACTGCAGTGTTTCAGGGTGATACCATGTTACCTAGTGGTGCTAGTAAATGCTGCTGGTGGTCGGATTTCGGTAGTCTTTGGGCAGAACCGGAAAAATTTAAACATGACTGCCTTTCCATTAGGTATGTTTGCTACTGCTTGCATTTGCTTCATGCTTGAAAATTTCCTGCAGAGCATAGGAAATTAACCTCAGAGTAACATTTTTATTGTACTCTAGTGCTGGACTACCACAGACTGCCTCAAGAACCGTACCTACCAGTGGAAGAGTTCAAGGCATGTTGCTAAGAAGTAAATCCGTACCCCAACATAAAACTGTTCCGTTTGTAAACATTCCCCTGGCTGATGGACAGGTATCAAACCTTTTTTTTTTTTTTTAAAAAACATTTTCATTTTACAGTAGTTGCTAAACTGTGAATAGTCTGATAGTGATAGCTCTTGCTATCCCTAAATGAGTTGCTGCTAAACAAAAGGAAAAATGGTTACTAAAGTTTTGCAGTGTAGCAGGGAAGCACATGATTTTCGGAAAAGCTGGCCATGCAAGTAAAAACTTTCAGAATGGTTTTTTATCTTAAAACTGTTTCTCTTCATGTTTAGACACTCTGTACGGCTGCTGGAGACCTCCATAATATTGATGTGCAACTACTAAATCAAGATACAGTACAACATATTCATAACTTAGTGGTAAGCTTAAACTAGTAGGCTTACATATAAATATTTAGACAGCTAGTCTCAGGTTTTCATGTGAGATACTGTCATGAATGCAAATTCTAAGTGCTTAAACTCTTCTGAGGCTAAGCCTAAATTGGTTGGCATAAATTGGAGGGAGGAATAGGGCAAGGGAGGAACAGGGAGGGGAGAACTGCTGCGCACAGATAACGTGTAAAAGTAAATGCATTTAAATAAGCATGTGCAGTTTGGTAATTGCCTGGCGGACAACAGAAGCATAAACTCTTCCTTCTAGGTTGCTCTGGTGTCTCTCCTACCATGTGAGCAAACTGCCATTCTCTCTCTTGTATTCACAAAGGCTTACAAAGCTACAGCTAAGTTGAGATTCTTGCTATAATCTCTCTATTATTCTATGTCCCTTGCTGAGTAAGAACTATGCTCCTGTTAATCCTCTGCTGCAATTGAATAATAACTGCCTTGCCTTTGGTTCAGGGAAGTAAATTGTTCTGAAGCAGAATGAAGTTAAACAGAACTTTGTAGCACATAGTGCCTGACTCTTCTGAAGATGAGGGTACCTGGGCTTTTGGATGAAGTAATGTGCAGCACTAGGAATCTATCTAGACATAAGCAATATTAATCAGTTTACAGTCTTGCAGGTATTTAGACTTGAATGCAGCTATATGAGTTAGGCTAAAGGTCTGGAAGCTGTTTTGTATTTATAGCATGGGCCTGCCTCTGAAGGCAGAGGATGGGGGGTGGTTGTTCACTGCTGGCTTTAGCAATAATGACTTTTCTCTTTTTCTTCTTCCATGTTCTGCTGGGTAGCTTGAACTAAAATGAATTTTTCCCCCCTTAGAGTGAGCTGGCTGTACTATGTGGAAAGGCAACAGCTAAACAGAGTTAATGGAACGATCTTGTGACTACAGAATATTCGTGACAGCTCTTGCTTGCTACCTCTGAAGTGTTTAGAGAATGTCTGTAATGTCTTAATAAAGCTGTATACTGCCCAGTAAATGTTTTTATATTTAAGCTTACAATGTGATGTGTATTATTCAATTCCTGTTATCTCTGAGAAGGATACAAAAGCAGAAGAAAATAATTCTACTTTTCCATCTTCTTTATAAAAGGCTTAGTTACCATCTAACCTCAGTTCACAGTAAAATGAACAGTAATAGGTTGTATGTAGGAAATAAGTTTTAACTCTGATATTTTAAATACGACTTTTTTTTTTTTTTTACATAACTGTTTGTGAGTACAGAGCTATTTAATGTCATTCTTCTGTGCGTGCCACAAGCAGAATGTAGTGTTGGTTTGCTATTCATGTTTAGTCTTCCCAGTATCAATCTCCTTGCATCTAACTCTGGAATTAAGCTGAAGTGCAAGTTTCTAAATTCTTGAATAGCATTTTAAGGCATGGAAACTTAGTTCTGTGGTGGCGTATATGAATCTGACACAGGGATAAACGTTGTATCGTCTTGTGCTGTGACATGACAGTAATGTGCAATATTACAGGTAGTAACCCAGACTTGCTGTAATTTGTAGTGTCAACCCAATTTTTCTAGCACTTACATACTTTTGAGTAACTTGTAGGAAAGGCTTTTAACATCTTTCCAGGTAAAGATGCCAGCCCAGCAGTCACTCTGCTGTGGGTGCTCTAGTATTTTCAGAGCTTGAGGATGCACTTGGCTTTTACTCTGCCAGTGGTGATTTCAATTAAAGTGTTTTCACTGTGGTAAAGGATGGTATGAAAGACTCCTGCACTCTTTCATTTTTAACACAATGTTTTAGTTTAAATCTAGATTAGTTTTTTCTTCTGTTCTGCTCCCACCCTTGCTTCACTTCAGGAAACAAAGGTCACAGGTTTCAAATAAGGAAAAAAAAGAAAGCTTTCCAAGGCATAGGAGACAAAACTCACTCATAAAGAACATGACATTAAAACACTATCCAACCTAGATTAAAACTTGGTAACCAGAAAATACAGGAATAAACCTCTCATTCAGATTATACATGAAGTTTACAGAACATTCATGAATAGTTCTGACCTGAATTGACATCCATTTTCCCTTACATTGATATGAGCATTACATCAATGTGGTATCAGCTTTTGATTATTGTAGGCAAATGGACATTTCAACATGAATGATTTAACTATTCATTCCCATACTACACCTACACTAAGGTAGCCAAAATTGCAATGCAGTACTGAAACTTGCATTTTTTTTTTTGAATTTTTGGAGAAGGTATAGTGTTAGGCATGCTTTGCAAGACAGGCCAACACACCTTTGTTGTGGATCTCACTTGGGGTTTAGGTATGGTGGTAGTGCTATTACAAAAATAGCTGCTAGTGTTTAATCCAGCCTGCTCTTGTTAAAGTATTTTCTGAGTTGCAATTTAGAGATTAGCTTTTTTGTGACTAAAAGGCTACTACTACATAGGGCTTAGTACCCAAAGGGCAAATACACAGAATGTACACTGTAATGAAGCACAAGGACTCTACAATCAACTGAAGTCATTCTTATGAATTGTCACCAAGCTAAGAAGCCTCCAGAACGCCATTAATATCGACAGTGTTCCTTTTAACTTTGGTAAAAGCAGCATACAATTAAATGCCCCATACCTCCTTTACTGCAATTGTTTGAACTTCATACTTGCATCAGCCTAAGGCTATAGTGGAAGGTTACAGGTTAATAACTAAAATACAATTTTCCTATTACATCCTATTTAGAGGGCTGAGAAATTGCTGCATATTAACAGGTAAGTCTTTGATATGTTTCATTTTTTCAACCAGCAGTAATCTTTCTTCTACTGATTACCTCTAACGTCTTTGCAAACCTATTTTTCAGAAGAACATAGCCTCATCTTTCATGGGAACAAGAACCACACCCCTGTCAGTATCTTATGAATAAGTATTCACTATGAACACCTTGGTAAATTAAACACACTTAAGAGGACAGATAAGACTTTCTATGAGAGTCAATTTTAGTCACTGTATATGCAGAAATAGATACGTTACAAAATAAGCTGGACAAGCCTTTCCTTTCAGCTTCTTGAGGCCAATGTTAAAGATATTTTTAAAAATAAGTGTCAACTAAAAAATGGTTCCAATACAGTTCTGGTGATCACCTTTTCGTCCTCCCCCAACATACAGAATACTTATTTATTTAAAGTACTTATGTTAGAGATAGTACTAAAGTTGCAGCTGTTTATTACTGAGAACACTTAACTAACATTTATTTGATTATTCATAGGACAGTCACAGTGGCCCAGTTAAAGCATTAATAGCTATGTTAAGCATTAAACTACTTTGGTAAACTACTAAAGCATTAGTAAATGTAGTAGTATATTACTTACAACTTACATATTGAAACCAAGTGTAGGTTGTGAATTTATGTGAAGTTTTCTACACTACAACTTTGTAACGGGATAGCCTCTTAGTAGAGCAGGAGATACATATAATAAGGGCAACTCTGAAGAAGTCACCACTCATTGAAAGATGCTGCTGTCAGGAGCCTAAATTAATACAATCTCAGGACTAAAACAGGACTAGACTAATTCACACTACATACAGTGATCAATTTCCCCTTCACTTCAGCATGCCATCCAGAAAATTACCATGAAAAAGCAATTTAAAAGTAAGGAGATAAAAAGTTTAGAGTACATACTCTGTTTTCCAAGGAGGTAAATCCTAAAGCTACTACTTCAAAGCAGAAGACAGGCATTTTAATTATTGAAGCATTACAGATTAAGATGACCAGCTTCTTGGAGAAATGAATCAGGAGAAAGGATCAGTATGTAACCACAGCTTCATGAAAAGCAACCTGAGGTTTTAATAAATGAAAATAAAAGATTTACTAGATGAGAATGCCACAGCGTAAGAAGTCAATAGTGAAATACAGGTCAAACAGTATTTATTCTTGCTTCAGTTTTAAGAGTCTACAACAAGGATGTTCAGCAACACTCAAAAGCCAGTGCCTACCCAAGCACGTAGGAACCCTTGGAGTTTGTCCCTCCAACTTCATTGGTAAAGTGTCAATAACTATCTATCTGAGCAATAATTAAACAAGTCACACTTCAGATTTGTAAAGAAAAGTAGAAGCATCTTTCAACTTCCTCACTTCAACAGAGAGAGAAACCTCACTATAGAGAAGCAGCTTACCAACCAGAGTTCACACACAGTTCCTTAACACTGTAACTAAATGCTTAGATAACTAGCTGTACCTGATAATTATTTAAGGTCACATTTTTGCTTTGTTATAGTATTTTTACCAATTCAAAGCATATAAAAAGGAACAGAACTGAAGCTGGAGAACATAATGTCTTAATAGTTAAAACAAAGTGCAAACTACCAAAAAAGTAACAAAGCCATCTACATTTAGTTTGTTTCCAGGTCAAAAATTTTTGTCAAGTACAATACTAATGTCAATCTCTTCACAAACTGTGTTAATGCAACCACAAGTTGCCAGGTATAATGTTCATTTTTACAAAGATTTTTTTAAAACTGGAAACATTTCTCTAGGAAGTCAGGCTGAATCAGGCTTTGAATTGGATTCAAAGGCTAAAGGGAAAGACGCCATCATTTTGGGATTTAGTCATTTTCATTTAAAAGGTTTTGTTATCTTCTGACTGAACTCAGATATCCTTGTGTTTTCTTCATACAAAGGGGACGTGGCTGCAGCCTTCCCCGTGCCCATTTAGTCATCTCTCCTTTGAAGAAAAGACTTTTAAATGTAGCACACAATTGTTATCAAACAGCAACCTAGTCTTACAGCTTCAGCCTCCCTGTGTTTATAAAATGTCTACCATCTACATAGTCTCTTCATACACAGAATAGTTAAAGCCACTGGAAAAGTAAGAGTTACAAGGCAAAAGAAATATATTATACACCAACTGCTTTTATTTATTTTCAGAAACCGTTCACAAGATGGTAGAAAAAACTTACAACCACTTCTAATTTAGTCTTCCATTGTTCCCAGTCAGCTCTAAACCCATTATGTGCAAAGCCCATTTACCATGCATCTAGATGATAGATACAGGCTATGAAATTCTTTATTCTACTTGTAGCAGCTTATGCAGGTGCAGCCAAATACCAAGCCTCAGGACAAATTGTACACAAACTTTACAATGTAGAATTTGAATTTAAAATATGAAACTTAAAATCTACACAAAACTGGTAAAAATCAAGCACAGATACGAGGACAAACTTAAAACCCATGTGAAAAGGAGTCTCGTCTTCCTTTCAAGTGCTTTATTCTGCTACACAGTCAAAATGAAGATGTAAGCTTGTGGTTAGTTTAAATTACACTCTGTAGATACTATAGACCAATTTAAAAGTTACACATACAGCAATAGATGTCCATTGGTTCTGGATTACTTATACAATCCAGCTGGATTGTTGAAAACAAGTCAGGCAAAATTTGAAAGAAAATCCTTGTGCAACTTTTTAGACAAACGTTTACTGATGGGCACACTGTACCCCAGGTCCATGATGGCTGCTTTCTTCATCAGAACTATCGTTGTAAGCTTCACGTCTCTGGCCACCACCTGAACCACGAGTGGTATCGAATTCCTGAAGATCTACCTCTTCTGCATCACCAATTACATTGGGAAATTCTGGTCTAGCTGGCAGAAGATCTTCAAGTTCCTGCCCCAAAAAAAGAAGTGCATTCAGTACTGCATCTGCAACTGCTAAATAAAGTGACTGGTTTCCCACAACTTCAAGACTCCCTCTCAGAGCAGGTTTGGTTTAGAAATCTAAGCTGATGTAAACCCTGAAGTACATACTCATTTAAAAGCATCCAAAGCATTTGAATCAACTGGAAGATGCTGCTTAAAGAAAACCAACAGCTCCACATATCATCAACCAAAAGTGCAATCAGCAAATACAGTTGCACTCTGAAAACTTAATCACACAGCAACAGGAAGATTCTTCCTCCTGCCCTTGTCTGCCCAGCATCTGCCCAGCTCCTACATATGGGTGCCATAAATTCATATTCCAATGGGTATTTTGAAGTTACATGTTGCCTATAAACAAAT